GTGTGTGTGTCATGTGCTCTCTGTGTGTCTCATGTGCTGTCTTTCTCTGCTGCCTTCCACCATGGGGTGACAGAGCAAGAATGCCCTCAGTCACCACCAGATGTTGTAACCACCCAATGGGTTCTCCTTGTCCACGGCCTAGACAGGGCCTATTTATCAAGACAGGGGATGTGCAATTACCAAAGAGTTCAGTTCAGTTGGAGCTGGCTGTACAGGAGACTGGAGCTTTATTATTACTCAAATTGGTCTCCCTGAAAGTTCAGGGAGTCTTTAAGGATGACTTAATCAGCAGGGGTAAAAAAGTAGGGAGTGCTGATTGATTGGGATGAAGATGAAATCATAGGCAGTAGAAGCTGTCCTCTTGAACTGGGTCAGTTTCTCTGTGGGGACCACAGGACCAAAGTAGTCATTTTCATCAGTTTGGGTGTTGCCAGCTCAGCTGATAAGTGGAGTGCAGGGTCTCCAAAATATCTCGAGCAGTTATCTTAGGTTTTGAAATAGAGACGTTATCCCAAGAGCAATCTGGGGAGGTTCAGAATCTTGCAGCCTTCAGCTGCCTGACTTCTGAATGGCAATTTTTAATCTCACAGCTAATTTGTTAGTCCAGAAAAGACAGTCTAGTTCCCAGGCAGGAAGGGGATTTCTTTTGGGAAAGGGCTGTTATCAACTTTCTTTCAAAGTTAAACTATAAACAAGTTCCTCCCAGAGTTAGTTCAGCCTACACCCAGGAACGAACAAGGACAACTTGGTTAGAAGCAAGATGGAGTTGATAGGTCAGGTCTCCAGCACTGTAATACTATTCTCAGTTACAATTTTTACAAGGGCAGTTTCAATGTGAACTTCTTGATTATGGGTTTCCTAGCCTGAAGAATGATAAAAAACTAGTCTCTGTTCTGTATCAATTACCCAGTCTCACATATTCTGTTAGATTAGCAGAAAATGGACTATGACACTACTTTAGAAAACTGTCATTTCCATGGTTCAGTTTTTTTCTTGTTCATGCTTTATGCTACATTTTTCTTTCTTTTTTTTTTGTTATTGATGGTGAAATATTTGTTTTCTCTCATTTGTGGCTTACACTGTTGTGCGCTGTCTACCATTCATTGGCTTCCTTTTTCTTTATTTAAGATGAGGTCTTGCTCTGTCACCCAGGTTGGCGTGCAATGGTGTGATCACAGCGCCCTGCACCTTCGACCTCCCAGGTCCGAGCAGTCCTTCTGCTTCAGCTCCCAATTAGCTGAGACTACAGACAGGTGCCACTACACCCAGCTGATTTAAAAAAATTTTTAAATTTTTTCCTCTGAGCAGACACAAGTTCTCGTGGTGTTGCCCAGGCTGGTCTGAGCTGAAGAGATCCTCCTGCCTCAGCCTCCGAAAGTACTGGAATTACTGGCATGAGCCACTATCACACCTGGCCATCTGTCTTTTTTTCCTGCGTTCTGCCCATAATTGCTTTTTTTTTTGGGGGGGGGTCTTTTTCCACATGTTTCATGTTCAGAGTCTCTAAGGCATATGATATAGCTGAGCTGGTTCACCCCTGCCCTGTAGAGTGCACTATGTGGGTAAAGTCCCTGGTCTGCTGTGAATCACCCAGCCACAGGAGGGCTGCCTCGCTCTGGTTTCACATGCCTGTTTTAAACAGTCATGCCCAGAATTACCTGGCCATACTGTAACCTTAATAAAAAATCTAATTTGTGAAGTCAAAGAGTTTGCTTTTCATAAAACGAAAATCTTTTTTGTTTGGGAGTCTCACATACCGTTAGGGTCCCTCTTTTAGCACCTCACTAAGATTATTCAAATTCATTAAAATTTTTAAATGAACTCAGATGTTTGTAGAAACCTCTGGCCATTTTGCTGGTTCAACAGAATCACCTTTTTCCACTAAGGAACATTAGTGGTAGTTGAGTCATGAGGTTAATAGTCCCCACTTTTCCACCTCCCTCTCCCCACCCAAAATGTATTGGGCTGAGTGATAAGGACCAAGTACTAATCAACTGGCCAAAGGCTTCCTTGTATCTCCACAAGTCCTAGGTATTTCTCTCTCATTGAGAAAAGAGGGTCTGTGTTGATGCTTGGACGTGGGATTTGGTTTTTGTTTGTTTGTTTGTTTGTTTTTTTAAATAAGGAGTCTCGCTGTGTCACCCAGGCTGGAGTGCAGTGGTGTGACCTCAGCTCACTGAAACCTTAGCCTGCTGGGTTCAAGAGATTCTCCTGCCTCTGACTCCTGAGCAGCTGGGACTACAGGCAAGCACCACCAAGCCCAGATAGTTTTTTTAGTAGGGATGGGGTTTCACCATATTGGCCAGGCTAGTCTCGAACTCCTGACCTTGTGATCTACCCACTTCATACCACCGCACTTGGCCAGATGTGGGATTTTATACCTTCCTGGCACCCAGGGTTGAAAAATCAATAAACAGAGAAGGCATAGAAAATGATGGGTCATGCCAGGACTACTGGTTTTTCTTTCCTTCTGTTACTTGTTACAGTGATTTTCTAGCAGGAAACTTGAGTTCTACATGACTCAGTTTTTCTTGAATCTCAAACCAGCTGAACATTCCATTCTTCAGAGATTGGCACCAAATCACTTTGTCCAATCTCAAAAAATCTCACTGTTTTTTCTTTAGGTGCATTTTTGAAGACAAAGGGAAAAACCGTGGGCAAAAAAGTCGGACTTTACTGAATGTGCACCGTAGTTACATGGCAGGATGTTCTGATTGGCATAAAACTAACCGAACTTTAAATACGAAGTAGGTCACAGGAAGAGAACAGGACTTTGGAGAGAGTACAGAGTGTGTGAGTTGTTCTCTCCACTTCAGTATTTTCCTCAACCTGTTGTCTAAATAACATAGGAATTCCATTTTGGAATACATGGAAAAATCATTTAAATTTGTTTATAGGTATAGAAGGGGTCCAGAAATGTTAAGAGCACACATGGTTTAAAGTGTATACCTTTGCTTCATGGGAGAGCATAGCAAGTTGAAAATGTTTTCTACTGAAGCAAGTGAATGCTTCATGATTTAAAAAGAAAGAGGAGCTTCTGACGGCTGGTGAGCAGTGAAGGGTAGAGCAGGCCCATTCTTTCATGTGTCAGACATGTCTGCTCTACCCCGCCCCTCACTGAGGCACTCACACTCACCAGGCATGATCATCTAAAACTGTTTCGATAGTGTTATCTCCAACCTCCTTCTCTGGGAAATATTGCTGACTCACAGTGACTAGGGGCCTTCGATGGCACTCTAGACCGCCAGTCGCCAGTCTGGATCACTGAACCCGTTCTGAGCTGCACCGGTCTTTTACTTTAGTGCCAGGTGGTTGGAAAGAGGCCCGCACAGTAGAGCTACTCATTTAAAAATAATCCTTTTGGTTGAAGCTTTTGTCCAGTTTGTCTGAGGCTGGTATCTGTCCTCCCAGGGGGCAGGAGTGGGGCGGCCACTGGCTGAGGACCTCATGGTGCCCTATTGTTCTTAAGACTTGTCATACAGGGTGAAGGAAAGCAAAAGGTGCCACTTAAAATGTACTTTTTGGGCATATTTTTATATGGCTATTCAGAGGTACCACAATTCACAATCCAATTTTATATGGCTACTTAGGCTGCCGACACACAAATAGATATGAAAAGGTTTCTTCTCAGGCAGAGATTTGCAGGCGCTGAGGAAATGCACGTTAGTGAAGAGAGGATAAAAGCCTTTCTCTGAGCCCCCCACTCCCTGCCCTGCCGCTTATCTGCCTTCTTGGATAAAGGTAAGATTAACTTCCAGGATAAAACAGACTAAGGTCCTAACACTTAAAAGATCAGACAGAGAAAATTCCCCCCAGGCCACCGTCTTTCTTCCTGAGGGCAGCTTGGGGAGCCCCTGAGAGGCTCACGTCTGCGTGGGGACAGCCTTGGCTCGCCATGCGCGCCTCTCCCATGCTGACATCCACCTCCCGCAGAGACCCCAAACCCCTGTTCTCTCTGTAGCCTCAGGATGTGAGGAAACCTTCCATCACCCGGCCTGTCCTGGAGTCTATTGTTGGCAGGAATCTGTGTTTTCCTGTGAATATACATGTGTATCCGTGCACATGTATATATATTTGCATGCCTTTTTATATTAATCTCTGTTGTCAGTTTGTTTTATACAATCAAATTATCACAACTTCAGAAGGGAGAGGGAAGGAAGTGCCGTCTGCGCCTACATGGGTATCTGAATTTCCTATGCGAACCAGAAAAGGTGAAGGAAAGTACTAAATGCAGGTTGGGTGAAGCACAGCATGACGATGACAATGTACCACCTAGTGATTTTGTCCAGCAGAAGCTCCTTATCACTTGAGAATGAACTTTTGTTAATGGCGTTGTTTGGCCGGCATGGTAGAAGCAATAAACATGAAGGGCGCACAGGAAAGGGTGGCCGGCATCATCCAGGCGGTCGTAAGAACACTCATAAAACGTGAGGCTGGATCAGGTGCATTTAGGATAAGTAAGAGATCAGAAACCTGCTGGAAACAAGGTACAAGTCGAGCAGGCTGTCCTAGAAAGAGGAAATGGCTGGAAAAAAGGCAAGAACACGGAGATGTAGTCACGATCTCAGGCAAGGTTTTCTGTGCCAACAAGATTCAATGAATCAAGGCAGAGACGGTCACAAAATGACATGAGGCCTTGATACAGGAGAATTTCATTATGCTGAAGGTAGAAATGGGTGTTTCTGAGGAGTCTCATTACATGTATGCCTGGGACTGGGCATCTAGCTTTGTTCAAGGAATTCTCAATACGCTGTTTGTGATGGCATTTGTGGTAAAAATGGATGGTATGAGACTTAACTAAGTTCTTCTTGTAGAATCAATGTCTAGAAATGACCAATCTAGTGATCATTTTGTATCTTGTAAAGTATGTCTTACATCCTTATCAAAGACAGTTGGTATATTTCATACTTCAACTTAAAGAGTCAAGAGTGGACAGTGCCCAGAAGAACATTCAGACTCCTCTAACGTATACCATTTCCCTGTGTTCCTGTAAGATATACCTGCATAGAGAGGAAGGGAGCGAACAAAGGGCAATGGATCGATTCCAGCTTCATTCGGAATCACTGGCAGTTGCTATATGAGCTCTTCCTATATTGAAGTTGGTGAAATGAAGAACGCGGGAGCCTTGTCTTCTACTGGGCTGTCACAGAGGAAAAGGAGGAAAGACAGAGTCAGATTAGCTGAGGAGGATGACGGATCTGAAGCACAGCCATTCCGTGAGGCCGAATGGTGGACACTTCATGCTGGTTTTGGGATTTGGCAATTATGCTTCTGAAGATGCAAGTGGACCCTGGGGTTCTGAAGGGTCCTAGATCAGCTGTCCTTGCAGGGCTGTCAGCAGGCAGGAGCCCTGCACCTGGTAGACAGTGGGTGCTTGGAAAGGCTTATCTGAGCTTCCATTTCAGTGTCTCTAACTTGCCTCTCTCCAGGTCACAGAGATCTTTTCTTGAACGAAAGTGAGATGACAAGCACATGACTCTGAGGATTCAGAGACTGATCATTTTGTGGGTAGATTATATTTAGAGTTATTATTATTAATGTTACCTAACTGATATCAAGTGGCTTCTGTGAAAATTTTTCTGAGAAAATTTTTCCTTCTACTCAGCCTGACTGGGACCAAAATACCTTGTGGGGGAGTAGAGCTTTGGACAATTTCCACCGACATCTCCTTATGGATATTAAATGAGCTGCTTGAAAACCCATGACTCTGTCTAAGACAACTGAAGTTGTCCAGGGGCCCAGTGAGTCACCTGGAGCGTTTTCGGAACGCCTCCAGGAGGCCTATCGAATTTACACCCCACCTGATCCAGTGGCTCTCCAAAATAGCCGTGCTATTATTTTGGCATTTGTGGCCCAGGCAGCCCCTGCTATTCAGAGAAAATTACAAAGCTTGAGGGATTTGCCGGAATAAATATCACCCAGCCTCTAGAAATAGCTCAGAAGGTTTTTGACAATCGAGACCATGAGAAACAGAAACAGGCTGCTCTGGCAGCTGACAAAGCTTCAAAAGTGAGGCCAAAATCTTAGTGGCCGCACTCTAAAAAGTTAAACACAAGCATTCCAAGTTGTCTATGAGCTGTAATCGCAAACGCAAGTCTGGTCCAGGAGGCTGATAAACTAAGCCTGGGCCAACACTTACCCCTCATGGCTCCTCATGCCATTGAGACACTGCTGCACAGTGCCTCTGAAAAACGGATGTCAAATGCTGGCCCATTACAGTACCAGAGTCTGCTGTTGGCTCAGCCTCGCCTGACTTTCTCCCCTACAAGGTGTTTAAATCCAGCCACTCTTCTACTTGATCCAGACCTGACCAGAGCAGTCCATGATTGCCAGGAACTGTCAGAGACTGCAGAGGCTGGCTGCCTGGACCTCCAGGATGCCCACTGGAGAAGGCTGATGCCACCGTATTCACGGACAGCAGCAGTTTCCTCGAACACGGGGTGCGAAGGGCTGGGGCGGCTCTCACCACAGAAACGGACAGTGTGTGGGCCTAGGCCCTGCCGGCCCGAACTTCGGCGCAAAAGCCTGAGTTAATTGCTCTCATTAGGCCCTCCGATGGGGTAGGAAGAAACGCATCAACATTTACACTGACAGCCGGTGTGCCTTTGCAACTGTGCACGTTCATGGAGCTATTTACCAGGAGAGCGGGCTTCTCACTTCGCCTGGAAAAACTATCAAAAAAGGAAGAAATCCTGGACTTATGCCAAGCCGTTTGGCTCCCCTGCAGGCAGCTGTGATCCACTGCAAAGACATCGAAAGGAAAGCCACTGCCGGAGGGAACCAAAGGGCCGACTCTGCTGCCCCAGAGGCAGCCCAGCTTCCTGTCACCCCTTTAACTCTATTACCCACTGTATCCTCCCACAGCCCGATTTGCCTGATCGCCCAGTCTACTCTCCAGAAGATAAGCAAGCATTGGACCTTCAGGCCAGTAAAAATTGGGACAGATGGTGGGTTCTCTCGGATTCAAGAATTTTCCTGCCCCAGACCCTGGGAAAGGCTTTGGTCGGTGGTCTCCATTCTTCCACTCATCTAGAGGGAATAAAGCTGGCCCAGCTTTTAAGAAGCTGGTTTAAAATTCCCCACCTTCAAGACTTGACTAACCTTGCAGCCTCCCGATGCAGGGAATGTGCGCAGGTAAATGCCAGACAAGGCCCAAAACCTGAACTGGGCTGCCGTCTTCGAGGATGTACCCCCAGAGAAAGATGGGAAATAGACTTCACAGAAATAAAGCCACACTGGGCGGGATGTAAGTATCTCCTGGTGATGGTGAACACTTTTTCTGGATGGACTGAGGCATTTGCCACCAAAAATGAAACTGCCTCTGTGGTAAATTCTTACTCAGTGAAATCATCCCTTCACGTGGGCTGCCGTTTGCTATAGGATCTAATACCGGGCCAGCCTTCACCTCGTCCATAGCTCAGTCAGTCAGTAAGGCATTAAATATTCAATGGAAACTCCATTGTGCCTATTGGCCTCAGAGCTCTGGACAGGTAGAACGCACGAATCAAACCTTACAAAGTACTCTTACAAAGTTTGTCTTAGAGACCGGTGAGGACTGGACAAACCTCCTTCCTTTAGCTCTTCTTAGAGTCAGATGCACCCCTTACAAGGTGGAGTTCTCCCCTTTGAAAATCATGTATGGAAGGGCTCCCCCTATCTTGCCTAAGCTAAAGAATACCCATCTGGCAGAAAGAGCCCAAGCTAACTTGTAACAGTACCTGCAGTCTCTCCAACAGGTTCAACACGTCGTCCAGCCACTCACCCGGGAGCCCCCCCATCCGAATCCTTCTTGTTTATCTCCTTTACCTGTTCCCTCCCGCTGTGTCCTCTACCCCGCAGGATGTGTGTATGCAAATACCACCTGGAGGGCAGGTGCCTCTAACAAGGTTTCTCTTGCGGCTGATTTGTGTGCTCTGTTCCCGGAACCCCGCCCTCCCCAGCTAGTGCTATCGGAGCAGGTGCCACTGACCTTACTGCTGATTTTAGACACACAGCGGCCCAAATCAGATGTGGGACAAAAGCAGAAAAGAAACTTCAGTTGCTTAACTTCTACCTCCGTCCAGGAAAACACCCCAATACTAGCTGCCAGCAGGTTAATGAATTTTCCTGCCCTTACTGGACTGGTGTAACCTTGGCTACTTATTTTAGCTTGCAATCCTCTTACCATAACTGTTCATTACCCTAGCTTAACTCATTGGTACTACAATATGACATGGGAATTAAGGACGAAACTGGCCGGAGATTGTTGACTGTGCCTAAAGGCTGAGTCCCCATACTATATCGGACCGGGAGTTAAAGCCCCTTTCAGCATCAGGCCTCTTGCTTGCCAGCACTCCTGTGTTCCCTTACACTGGGGGGTATTACAGGAAACCTACTTAATCAGCAACGGGAATAAACTGTGTAATTCTCCTTTTCAGGCTACTCGTAACCAGTCTCTACTCACTTCCCTGAATCCCCCAGTCCTACCAGGCACCTAACGATACCTGGCTGGCCTGTTCCTCAGGCCTCCCCCGCTGCATCAATGGGACTGAACCTGGACCTCTTCTGTGCCTGTCAGTTCATGTGCTTCCCCAGGTCTATGTGTACAGTGGACCAGAAGGACAGCTTCTCATTACGCTCCCTGAACTGCATTCCAGGACCTGCTGAGCTGTCCCACCCCTTGGGCCCCTTCTGGCTGGCCTTAGCGTAGCTGGGTCAGCAGCTATTGGCACTGCTGCCCTCATCCGGGACTGGACTAACGTCCCTGTCTCAACAAGTAGATTCTGGTTTGGAAAATCTCGTCTGCCATAAATATGTTACATACTCAGGTAAAATCCCTAGCTGAAGTTGCTCTCCAAAAACGCCGGGCTTAGATCTAGTATTCCTATCCCAAGGAGGTTTATGTGCAGCATTGGGAGAAAACTGTTGTTTTTATACTAACGACTCTGGTGTCATAACAGACACCCTCCAAAAGGTCCAGGACAAGTTACATAGCTGCCGATGAGAATGAGAGAAGAATGCCTCATGGTTCCAAAGCATGTTTGACTGGAGCCCATGTTTAACTACCTTAGTAACTGGGCTAGTGGGACCTCTTCTCCTGTTAGGCTTAATCTTTGAACCCTGCCTGTCAAACTGGCTCCTTACTTTTATAAGACAGCGCAGAAATTCTGTTAAACTCAGGTATCTCAGCAGCCACTATAACCCCCTTGTAACCGAGGAGTCAATGCTTTGACTCCCCAAAAACACAAGTGGGGAATGTAATAACCTACCCTGGGCTAGCATCGCTGACTCCATCCTAGCTGTAAACTCCAACCTGGTGTCCCCCTCCCTACCACAGCCCCTCTGAGTGCATAACTGGGTCATGCTGCACTTAGAAGTGTTGAGGCGTACCGCTCCTAACACTTGTAACCGCTGTAACCGAATCCTACTTGGCATACCCGCCCCCTGCTATTGTAAGAAAAAAAATTTCCCTTTGATCCTTGTGTAGAAGGAGCCTGAACACCCCCCTTGTTGGTGACACCTGTGCCCGCAGCCCCTTCCTCTAACCTGCTTTTCTGCTTCTGTAAAGTTCCGCTTCAGCTAGGCTCCCTGTCTCCTATCTACATCAAAGTATAAAAGATAATGAAGCCCCTTCCTCGGGGCCAAGAGAATTTTGAGTGTTAGCTGTCTGTCGGCCACTGGTTAATTAAAAAAGGATTCTTAATTTGGAACTCAGTGTGGCACATTCCTTCTAACTCGCTCGGTTACATTATGTCCACCTTTTATCACTGTGGTTAACTATAGAACAGAGCTAAAGAGAACAGAACAGAATGTGCTGTCCTGTTTACTTGTTAACAGAAGCAAAATTCATACAGTAAAAAGGTATAAAGTGAAATAAAAGCCTCCTCAACACTCTGACCTGTGTTTTCACTTGAGGCGTTGCAGGAAGAAGAAGCAGGTCCAGGGTGCACTGTGCGTTTCTTTGTCCTGCAAGGGCTGTTTTCTGGGAAGCTTGCAAGCGCAGTCTCTCAGGTGGAGTCATGAATTCACTCTCTGTCTGAAATTTGAGGGGCAGCAAGCACTTGCTATGGTCCTGACTCTGCCCACAGGCAATGCCAGTTGGTGAAATGAGGACTGTGCCATGAGTGAGACCAGAGGGTCATGTGTGGGAGTGGCTCTCGGGCTTCTGCCTCTGTGTCTGGCTGCTCTCACTGTGATATGTCCTGGATCTGGCTGCAGTGTTCCTCCCTCTCACACCTCCCATACAAGTTCGGATGCTGAGCAGGGCACTGCCTTGCGTAACTCCCTTTGTGAGACACCAGCACATTGACCTTAGTCACTTCTGGGCTGAGAAGACAGGCACACAGGGGCACTCAGTAAATGCCTGTGGCCTAAATGCTGAAAAGACTACCTGGGAATGAAGGATGAAAAGAATCATGAATGATCTGAAAGCCCCAGCCGGTGGGAACTGGGAAGGGTGGGTGTTTTGGACTCATTTATTATTGTTAGCCAAAAATAGTTGCTGTGATGTGTGTGTGACTGTGACTGTGTGTGTGTGTATGTGTGCACCTGTGTGTGTGCCTGCATGTATGTGTGCCTGCGTGTATATGTGTGTGCTCATGTGTATGTGTATGCGTGTGTGAATGTGTTTGTGTGTGTGTGCCTGTGTGCATCCCTCCATGTATCCGTGTGTACCTGTGTATATGTGTGTGTGTGCCCTAGGATTGTTGGAATGATAAATGCGCATTATATCTAAGAATACAGCTAAATATCTCTACCATGAGAATTACAAAACACTGCTCAGAGGAAATCATCTCGACAGACACAAATGGAAAAACTTTCCATGCTCATGGATAAGAAGAATTAATATTGTTAAAATGGCCATACTGCCCAAAGCAATTTACAGATTTAATGCGATTCCCATCAAACTATCAATGACATTCTTCACAGAATTAGAAAAACATGCTATGTTAAAGTTTACATGGAACCAAAAAAGACTCTAATAGGCAAGGCAGAGCAAAGGTGGAGGCATTACATTACCAAACTTCAAACTATGTTGAAAGGCTACAATAACCAAAACAGCATGAGACTTGTATAAAAACAGACATATGGATCAAGAGAATAGAATAGAGAGTTCAGAAGTAATGCTGCATAGGTACAATCATCTGATTTCTGACAATTAATAAAAAATAAGCAATGGGGAAGGGACTCTTCAAGTGATTGGTACCTGGGTGACAAAATAATCTATGCACCAACTCCCCATGACATGACATGCAGTTTACAAACCTGAACATGTATCCTGAACCCAAAATAAAAGATTTAAAAAAACTGCAATCCAGTATTGATGGGCATTAAGGCAATGCAACTCCTGTCTTTACCGATTTCAGGGGTTCCTATCTATTGGGAGACAGCCTTTCTCTGGCACCAGCTGCAACCAATTATTATTTTAGCAGGGCAAGTTAACAACTGTGTGACCATCAGGTGGTCTTAGGAAGGGCCCCTCTCATGCCCTGCTCATGTCTGACTAACTACCTACTCTATCATTCCCCGTCAGCAGTCCAAGGCCTGACGCTTGGGGAAAATGGACAAAGGTCAGGCTCTGTAACTGCTTCCTACTGACAGAGGGGTGGTGAAGGCTGTTCTGTGGGTTTTGGCCTCTTGATATGTGTCAGGGCAGAGTGACTCTGTGGGTTGGTGAAATTGCTACCCAGTCAGCTCCAAGAGAAACATGAACAGGATTTTCGTTTTGTTGTGTTCCACTAATGGACAGTCTAGCGGTCTTTTACAGAAGGGTGACTGCTGAGCATTCAGAAGATGATATCCTCACTGAGGATCATTTGGACCTTGAAGGCCTCTCTCTCTAGGTTCTTTTGAGCTGCAGCCAGAGATCACTGGTTGGTTCAAGGAATAAGCAGGGTTAGTCTAAATTGCAGATAAAAATACAGAAAACCAACTGTGGAGACTAGAATCCAATAACAGGTGTACCACAGTTTTTGAAACATTTGTCTCTCTACAGTCCTCATTTGTATTACAAACAAATCATGATAGGACTCATTTGGTTGCAAAACAGGCTTTAGCCTTATTATACTTGGCCTGATTATTTGTATAACACATAGCGAGAATAATTTTTTGCCACTTAGGCTTCTTTTTAAATTGGCTTTGGTGAAACTTTGTTCCATAAGGAATCTCAAACAAGACTTTTTAAAGCCTTAAGCCCAGCCACGGGTGTGTACTGTCAAATACCTGCATGGTCTGGGTACGTTCTTCTCCTCTTGAGGTCCTAGGACAACTTGAAGCTCCTGGGCCTGTCAGAAAGTGACATTCTTTATTTACCATGGGTCAGAAACTGTGTAGACAAGGCATGAGGCCAGTTTTCCAAAGAAGCTACGACTGGTTCTCTAAGTCAACTTTGATTCCTTAGAGGAAAGCACACCATTTCAGTCAAAACCTCGGTAAAATAACCAGTTCCTTCAGTTGCGTCCTGTTGAAAAAAACAAAACAGATTCTTGTCACGCTTCTGCAAATACCTACATTGCCCTATGTGAAAAACATTCAGAAGTCGTTTCCAAATAGTAATAGAGCTATTCAAATGATCTATTTTGTTGGGTGAGTTATGGTATCGTGTATTTTTCAGGGAATTGGTCCATCATCTAACCTGTGAAATTTACGTGTATAGAGTTGTTTGTAGTAGTCCCTTACCATCCTGTTTATTTCTACAGGATCGTTAGCATAACTGCCTGTTTCATTGCTTATGTTGGTAGTTCGTGTTTGCTCTATTTTTTTATGTCAGTCTTGCTAGAAGCTTGCCTGAATTTATCTTTTCAAAAACTAATTCTTTGCTTCATTTTTTTTCTGTTTTTCCTCTCAAATTCATTGGTTTCAGCTCCTCTATTGATTATTTCCATAGTTTGCTTTGGGTTATTTTGCTCTACCTTTTCTAGGTTCTTGACATAAGAGCTTAGATTGTTGATTTAAGATTTCCTCTTTTCTATGGAATCTATTAGCACAGCTTCAGCTGTGTGCCGCACCATTTGATATGCTGCATTTTGATTTTCATTCAGTTCAATGTACTTTTCTATTTCCTTCAAGACTTCCTATCTTACCCATGGATTATTTAGAAGTGTATTGTTTAATTTCCAAGAGTTTGGTGACTTTCATGTTACTGTTCTGTGTTTGGTTTCTAATTAGATTCATTTTTCCTTGAATAACATACTCTGTATAATTTCAATTAATGTCTGTTTGTTCAGGCTTTTATGATTTTGGTTATTTTCTAGGTGTTGTGGGTTATGGCCGGAATATGGTCTGCCTTGATTATGCTCTTTGGGGACTTGAATCTATTTTGTGGTATTGTCAAGTAGAATGTTCTATAAATCCCAGTTAGATCCTCTTGGATGCAGTTTGATGAATCCATAGCATGTTTTGGTGTGTCTCTTTGCATAGCATTGGTTGCTATTAGTATTACAGTACATACACACAATTGTCACTGTGGACTGCTGTCATTGTCTTACCACTTTGAAAGAAGTACAAAATCCTTACCTCCTTTCAAGTTCCTTTACCCTCCCCCAATAATAATATACTTTCATTAAATATTTCTGACACATCCATTTAAAACCATATAAGACATTTAGTTTTTGTTTCAATTGACAAATATCATTTAGAAAACTCAAGAGGGCAGGAACAATCTATTGCATTTACCCGTATTTTTGCTTGCATATTTGTACTTTTTTCTTCCTGAGGTTACAAGATTCTAATTTTTTTTCTATTTTCTTTCTGTTTTGAGAACTTATGTTAGCTATTATTTTAGGTTAGGTCGGCTGAAAAAAAATATTTTATTTTTCTTCACCTGCAAATGTCTTGACAATATCTCTTTTGAGAGATATTTTTGCTGAACAAGAGTTAGGATTGAAAATTATTTTTTTTCAGCATTTGAAAATTATTGTCACTTGCTTCCATGATTTTTTGATAAAAAATTCACAATTATTTTAATTCTTTTTATTCTATAGATTAGGTGTTATTTTTCTCTTGCTTTTTTAGAAACTTTTCTTCTCTTTTGGTTTTCATATACTTATGATGTGCCTTGATTTGATTCCTTTTGGTTTATATTATTTGAAGATCACTTATCTTCTTGACTCTATAGGTTTGTAAGTGTTTCTAAATTTGAAAAGCTTTCAGCAGTTAAAGCAGCCACTGCATCTCTAAGTACTTTTCCGGCCCACTCTTTGCTTCCTTTTCCTTTCAGGACTTTGACGGCAGGAATGTTAAGTCTTTTGTTGTATTTCCACAGGTCCTGGAAGCTCTGTTCCTTTTCTTCTTCTGTCTGTTTTCTATCTGTTGCTCCTATTGGATGATTTATATTGCTTTAACTTCCAGATCAATAATTATCTCCTCTATTTCTTATGTTATTGATCCTATTGACTAAAATTTAAATTTTGTATATTGTAACTTTGTTTTAATATTTCCAAACTTAGTTGTTCATTTATCTTCTATTTATTTTCTTTTTTTTTCTGAGACGGAGTTTTGCTCTCCTTACCCAGGCTGGAGTGCAATGGCGCGATCTCGGCTCACCACAACCTCTGCCTCCTGGGTTCAGGCAATTCTCCTGCCTCAGCCTCCTAAGTAGCTGGGATTACAGGCACACGCCACCATGCCCAGCTAATTTTTTGTATATTTTTTAGTAGAGACGGGGTTTCACCATGTTGACCAGGATGGTCTCGATCTCTCGACCTCATGATCCACCCGCCTCGGCCTCCCACAGTGCTGGGATTACAGGCGTGAGCTACTGCGTCCGCATCTGGCCTCTTCTATTTATTTTCTAACACTTTCTAATTTTTTGGTTGAAACTTTGTTTTTTCATTTGTTGCAAGTGTGTTTACAGTTGTTTGTTGACCGTTTTTACAATGGTTGCTTTAAAAACTTGATCGGATAATGATAATGTCTTGACCGTCTGGTTGTAGCAATCTGGTGTTTACCTTCATTTATTCAACTCGAGACCATCCGTGTTCTTGGTATGATAAGTAACTTTTAAAATTAAAATCAGGACATTTTGGGTATTAGGTATTAAGTGTTAAATTCCTTTAGAGTATCTATTAAAATCGTATACTGTGAATACACAGAAAAGAAAAAAATGCTCAAGAAGGACAAACAAGTAAAAAAAGATTTTGCAAATTTGAAGGTATACCAAGTTATTAGCGTTTTTTGCGAGAGTCACATCCCTTATGATCACCCCTTCTATCAGCCCTTCCCCGGATGTCAGCATCTTAACCTCAGTGAGATGGGAAAGAAACAAAAGCAAATGCCAAAGCTGCAGCAGTTAGATTGTTTCAAATACCTCTTTATTTTGGCAGTTGTGGGGATGGGAATCAAGAGAAAACTGGGTTTAGATACTTTTATTTTCTGATCCAGGGTCTTAGGCCAACTTGTGACTGAGCAGGCTAATCAATGGGGAATACTAGAAACTTCTCATCCTTGAAATGTTCTCTATTCATCAACCCAAAATCAATAAGCTCTGGAACAACCACAGATAATTTTCTTAATAGTCATCAAGAAATTGATAATCCAGGTGATGAGAAAAGCTAAAAGGTAAAGGGAGAGTCTCAGTCAAATCATTGTTTCTGGGTTGGATGAAGACAGATTTCTGTTAAACGGTATGAGCCTAAAAGTTAACACAGTTTTCTTTGTGACTTAGGTACAAACCCAACTAGTTTTATGATAATAACATACTAGTGCATCATGCTGTCATAAATACATTGTGGAAAATAAATATACCTACACACATGGGCACACATTCACAAATATGCCAAGGCATTCCATTTTTTCAATATGTTATTCTGCAGCTTGAGGAGATAAATTATTTGTGTTTATATTTTGAACCTCCAGGAAGGCGGAAATAAATTCTTTGTCTTTTAAAACAATGCTCAGTGTGATTTAATATGTAAAGTTAATAAATATTTTAAGGTGATAATGAGGAAGGTGATAAAATTATCACTGTTCAATATATGTCAGGCATTCAGAAACAATTTATCTATGGCTTTTCTTGGGAGAAAATTCTATATTCTACCTAGACATAGACACAATGTTTAGAAGATGAAATCACTTCAACCAGGTGCTTCTTTTTTAGCATGGGAGAGAAAAACTCTTTCTATATACAAAGTAATAATTTTTGACATAGAAAATGCCAAGTCATTGAATACTTATTGTTGATTAATATTACTGACATTTATTGTCAGGTGTTCCTGCATGTATCTTCACTCTCCGTTACCTTTGCCCTCTTTATCATTTGATTATGTTATTCATTTAACCAATATTTATTAAGTACCCAGGGAGAGAGTAGTTTAAGAACAAAAGAACAAAAACAAAACAAAAACCCTGCCCTTAGAATCTAATGCTCTAACATGCTAAAGAGAAAAAAAGCTAAATAAACTAGTAAAATATATGGTATGTAAGTTAGGGATATGTGTCAAGGACAAAAACGAAGCAAAGTAGAGAGAAAGGCCCTTCTAGGAAGAGTTGAATTTTTAGATAAGTGACAGAGGAGCCATCATTGAATGATGTATGAGTGAAGACCTGAAGGATGTAAAGGAGTGAGCCATCCTGCTATATGGGGAAGAGCTTTCTAAGCAGAGAGAATGGCCAGTGGGAAGGCCCTAAGACAGGCCTGACATATGCTACTGTTATGGTTTGGCTGTGTCCCCACCCAAATCTGATTTTGAATTATAACTCCCCCAATTCCCACATGTCGTTGGAGGAACCCAGTGGGAGGTGAGTGAATTATGGGGGTGGATCTTTCCTGCACTGTTCTTGTGATAGTGAATGAGTCTCATGAGATCTGATGGTTTTAACAACAGGAGTTTCTCTGCACAGGCTCTCTTTTTGCTTGCTGCCATCCATGTAAGACATGACCTGCTCCTCTTTGCCTTCTGCCATGATTGTGAGGCCTCCCCAGCCTCTTGGAACTGTAAGTCCATTAAGCCTCTCTTTCTTTTGTAAATTTCCCAGTGTTGGGTACATCTTTATCATCAGTGTAAAAAAGACTAATACAGTCAGGAATAGCAAGGAGGTCACTGGGGCTGCATTGGAGTCAAGAATTGAGAGAATGGAAGGACAGGGACACACAAAGTTAAGAAAGGGAGTACCTATTGGCCCTTTAGGTCTTTGTAATGAGTTTGCTCTTAATTCTGAGTAAGACGGCAGGCTCCCAAATATTGAGGACTTCCGGTTTACACCCTTTTTAACCTGTCCACTGTGGCTACTATGTCTGGGGCTGAAGTACAGGAAATGGAGGCCACCAGGAGCCAGTTACTTTATCAGAAAAACTTTGGTATGAGCATGGTGTGTGTGTGTGTGTGTGTGTGTGTGTGTATTGGGGAAGAAATTGCAGATACCATTATCAGCCCAATTACAGACATGATAATTTGGAGATACATAATAGATATCCAGGTAGAGGTATATAGATATATAAACCTTGGTCCAGAGCCCTGACCTGGGCTGAATATAATTTGGCAAGTCTATATTTAGATGATATTTAAAGGATGAGAATAGATGAAATCAACAATGATGTAAAAGTAGGTGGAGAAAAGAGAAGAGGTCTAGGTTGAGCTCTAAGTCACTCCAAAACTGAGCAGTCAAGCTAATGAGGAGAAACCAGCAAAGAACATTAGAAGAAATGGCAACGGTGGAGGGTATCTGCAAGGATGTTAATATATGGATTGTCCCCAAAATTTAAGCAGGTAAAAAAGGATAGAGGGTACATTAGAGGGTCGAGTTACAGTGAAAAGGTGGTAGGGGTCAGTGAACTGTAGGTCGTGTAGTCATCAAAGGGTTACTGAAGGTCATCATGTAGAAAAGGAGCGGGAAATGTAGGAGGTGATGACTGCAGGGTAAGAATTCGAAACTGACATCCAGTCATGGTTAGTAACTCGCAATGACAACGTTTAGGATGAGACTACTAGGTTGACAGGCTGAGTGAGACTGAAGGATAAACACATTGGAAGAGGAAAGTCACAAAACCGAAAGATCGGACTGTTTCAAGGATTATCTGTGTGGTGTTGAAATGGTAAGAAATTATGACAGTTGTACTGCTGGTTGGAGTGAAAACTGGGAACTAAACTCTTCGGTGGATGAGAGAAGACCTGGGAATGCAGCCCTGAAGGCTGCAAAGGACAGTGGTAGTGGTGGGTTAGTCTGATGACACAGAGCGCAGAGCTGAATGCTTCTAGGAAGGTGATTCCAACTCAATAGTCAGGCTTAGCACTACTAAGGTCTTGGGAAGGATAACAGCCCCAACTGGAGAGAGCTGATGGGAATCAGTGCTCCTAGGAGAAATAGGCTTTCAGCTACTGTGAAAAGATGAAAAGAACATTTACAGAAGACATCAAGGATAAAGTGGTTGAGCAGGACTTTCAGGAAGCGCAGTGAAAAAGTGTTAAGGTGGTGTACACAGAGCTATTTGGGAACAGGAATTTTAGGCTCCTGTCATGACTGAACTAACAGTGACAAAGACCATGATAACTTCAAGGGAGCTAAGGCGCTGGTGGCCAGACTTACTGGGCAGCAGAGGATGGGAGTCAGTCCAAGAGCTACTGGATTGGTTGGTCTTCCCATGTTCTGAGATGTTTACATACATATATATACTATATGCCACCAAAGAAAAAAATAACTTCCTGATTTTTCTCTACAGCCTTCTGAGAATCATAGAATCTAAAAATTTGAAGGGTCATTAAAAGTCTATCTTTAGAAAAATTTATTTTCCTGCCACTGGATTTTCATTATCACCTCCACTTGCTTGATACTCAGCCTCTTCCCTTTTTCCTTCTTAATTTTTGGAACCTGCTTACTCTTTTCTACTGAGAACCCCCAGACCTGAGCAAAGTTCTGAACATTGTTTGGAAACCGTGGCTGAAGATCCACCCCTGTGGCCAGCCTTGCAAGAGAGCCAATTCAGTTTCAAAATCTGAATGAGAGAGGACGGGCTTTGTGATGGTTATTAGGGAAACATGAGAAATGCTGAAATACAGAATCAACAGGATGAGGTGGTTATTTAGGTGTAGAGGGTGAGGTTTGTGCCAGGATAGTGGTCTTTTAGTATTACCATGATGAGGATAGAGAGAACATCAAAGACTTCAATATTAAGTGTATCAAGTTTTAACTGTAAGAATAAGTAGAACTATCTGTAGGGAATATCTCCAGAAAATTTTAATTTAATAGAAAATCAGTGGGCTACTAGAGACCAGGAAAAAGGTCTGGGCTACAGATTGAAACCATGGAATTCTTGGGGTATAGATTGGAGGGAAGCCTAGTGATGAGGGACACACGGAGGCAGTGGGGAACCAGGAGAGCCCCATCTTCAACAGGGAGCTTCAGTCTATGTTGAGTTCTGCTCACACTCTTGTCTGGGCAGAGCCCTGAGCCTTGGAAGAAAATATCTCTGATCTGAAGTCTGAAAGAAAAAAAATGTTTTCCAAAAGTTTTCCTAAGCAACAGACTCTGCTTTCTGTGGATTGAAATCAACTGAATTCCCCCCACTGTCCTGTTCCCTAGTGTTGACAACAAAACAAGCTACTTATAGAATGTTTTCAAAATAGCTCATATCCTTGTTCAGGCCATCTATGGTTTTCATGTCTTCTGGTGTCAGCTGGAAGTCAAAAACCTGTCAGAAATGTGAAAATATCAATTTAATTTCCTTGAGGCAACTGCCATTCATCTTCTCCCCTCTCCACAAACACACAAAATCCATGTAGGATTACCTCATTACCTCCATGTAGGAATTTGTGTAGGATTTATGAGTGAGTTGTCATGGACAAGTGATTCATTCAGTGGCATGTCATGGGAATTTGTCCATTTATAAACTTGAGATTGGCATTGCTAACCCTTTCTCAGAGTCTTTTTTTGGGGAGCTGTCATTGCAGCAAAGAAGTCCTAGAAAAATTAAGCCCAAACCTCACGTGATCTAATCCCTTTATTTTACAGCTATAGAAATCAAGGGATGACTTACCCAGCACCATACTGTACGGGAAAACTCAGGATTAGGACTTGCTTCTAACCCTGTCTTTAGTGTTCTTTCCAACCATCCCACTCTCCCTTGCAGCACTGGGGGACAAAGCAATTAAATATGGTGCTTATATGCATAGAATGTAGAAGGGGCTAAGCTTTGCCCAAATACACCTTGAGAGTTTTGCAAAAACCCACATGCCACGGGGAAATGATGTGGCTCTGTCAGTCCCCCGCTGCCACCACCCTGTCCTGTACCTGGAAGTTCTCTTTGATTCTCTTCTCAGTGAAGCTCTTGGCCAGGACCACCACCCCCCGCTGCAGCTGGTAGCGCAAGGCAACCTGGGCTGGAGTTCGCCTGTGCTTTTCAGCGATGGCATTGAGTACTGGATCCTCCAGGAGAACTGGGTTGTCTTTTTTCACCCTTAGAGGAGAGGCAGAGATGCTACAAGTCTGAGGCTGAATATCCATTTTACTTGGGGGCTGCTCATTTTGGTCAGGGATGCTAATCTCCTACAACTTTTCTCATTACCTTCTGGCCATCTCAATATCTGTTTTGCTTCTTTTGTTACATCCAAAAATGAAGGACAAATCAATGGAAGATGGCAGTTCTATTGAGTTCTTATAATGTAGGTCTGGATTAGGTACAAGGTTTACAAGTGAGTTTATTCCTGCTGTCTATTTTTAATTTCTTCAGACAGTTGAGAGATTACTTCAGAAGGTACAGTATCTATGATTAAAATAACTATGGGCCAGAAGTGGTGGCTTTCACCTCTAATCCCAGCACTTTTGGAGGCCGAGGTAGGAGGATCACTTGAGCCAGGAATTCAAGACTAGCCTGGGTAACATGGCGAAACCCTGTCTCTACAAAAATGAAAATAAACAATTAGCCAGGCATGGTGGTGCACGCCTGTAGTCCCAGCTACTCAGGAAGTCTGGGAGGGAAGATCCTGACTTGAGCCTGGATGGTCAAGCCTGCAGTGAGCCATGATTGTGCCATTGCACTCCAGCCTGGGTGACAGAGTGAGATTCCCCATCTAAACAAACAAACAAACAAAAAAAAAAACAAAAAAAAATAAACACAATAAAATAACTGTATGGAGATTATTACCATTCCTTTCCTGGGTCAGACCCCAAGGCAGCATATCCAGTCATGACAATGTCCTTGGACTTACAGTACTCCAGGAGTTTGCTCTGGTTGAGGTAAGGGTGACATTCCACCTGCAGAATGCCAAGCAGGAGAGTTAGGTTACGGAACCACCAACACCAAGTTTACCAGGGACATGCAGTGCTGCATTGCATGGTATCAAACATCTTTTAGGATACCAGCAACACCGGCCAAGCCATGATGGTCATCCACAGCTATACCCATGAAGCTCCCACGGGCTTCACTTGGGATTACAGCCCATGGAGGGCATGGCGCTGTTGATTAGATAATTAACTCAGTGCTCTTAGAGGGCAGGTTGTGTACAAGGCCAAAAGAGAATTTCAGTCTCTCAGACTGAAAACCATGGGGATATCTTTGGTTCTTGCTCATGAACCATGGTGACAGCTTGGTTGCTTCAAAGTTTTGGCGATGATGAATATATATGCTACAAGTGTCTATGGGCAAGTTTTTATCTGGATATGTTTTCAACTAATTTAGGTAAATGCCAGAAAGCATGACTGCTGACTTCTGGATTATGTGGTGAGAGTATGTATAGTTTTGTAAGAAACTGCCAAAATGTCTTCCAAAGTGGCTATATCATTTTGTAATTTGAGAGTGGCAGGATACAGCCAAATGCCTAGGCAGATGGGGGTGAATCCCCAGTGAAACCCTGCCTCCAAGCCCAGGAGAGTTAATAGCCTGAAATCCAAAATACAAGTTAAATTCTTGGACGAGATTGAGCACTTGCCTTCCTGTTTGTCCCAGTTTCCTCTGGTTGATCCCCACCCTTCACCTATTTTACATAGACCTACCCTTTCCTAATTGGTTTTCTGCACTGTCATGCACACCTTTGAGTGGTGTCTTCACTTTAACCTTTTTTGCATATTCACAAACCAATCAGCATGCACTCCTGATTCTGAGTCCACAAAGAGCACCAGACCCAGCCGCATGGGGGACTTTCCTGCCTTTGGGTAGGGGGACCAACCCGGCATCCCCTCTCTGCTAAAGCCATTTTCATCACTCAATCAAATTCTTCTCCTCCCTCCTCTCCCTTCAATGTCCAGTGTTTCCTCATTCTTCTTGGATGTGGTACAAGAGCTCAAGAACCACCAAACTCAGGTACAAGTTATAACACAGGTGAGCTAGGGTTCACCAGTGTGGTCGAGTGCAGCCCAGGTGGGGCATCACCAGCCAGGGATCCCTGGCTTGCAAAGTGACCAAAAAGAAATATTCTACATCATTTCCACCAGCAATTAAGAAGAGTTTCAGTTTCTCTATATTCTCTGCAGCAGTTGGTGTTGTCAGTGTTTTGGAGTTTGCCCATTCTCACAGGTGTGCAGTAAAATCTTTTAAATTTATGATTGTCTAGTGATATATGATGTTGAGCAACTTTATTGGATTATTTGCCATCTATATATCTGTGTTAAACTGTTCAGATCTTTTGCTCATTTCTACATTTGGTTGTTTATGGTTTCTTATTCTTGAGTGTTAAGATTTCTTTGTGTAATTTGGAAATCAATTTTATATCAGACATATGTTTTGCAAATATTTTCTCCAATCAGGGATTTGTATTCTCATTTTCTTGACAGTTTCTTTCACAAAGCAGAATTTTCTAACTTCAATGAAATCCAGCTTATTCGTTTGTTCTTTCATGGATCACGCCCTCGGTAATATATCTAAAAAGTCATCACCATACCCAAGGTTATCTAGTTTTTGTTTTATACCTTCTAGGAGTTTTATGGTTTTCTATTTTACATTTAGGTCTGTGATCCATTTTGAGTTAATTTTCGTGAGGGATGTTAAGTCTGTGTCTAAATCTTTTTTTAAATCTTCGAATGTGGATGTATAGTTTTTCCAGCACCATTTGTCCAGATTATTTTCTCCATTAAATTCCCTTTGCTCCTTTGTCAAGATCGTATGACTGTATGTGTGTGGGTCTATTTCTGGGCTCTCTCTGTTCTGTTCCATCGATCTATTTGTCTATTCTTTCACCAATACCACATTGTCAGGATTACTGTACTTTATAGCATCTCTTAAAGATGGGTAGTTTTAGTTATATGACTTTCTTCTTCAGTATTGTGTCAGCTATTCTTTGTTTCTTACTTTTCAGTGTGAACTTTAAGAAGAGTTCGTTGGTATTCTCAAAAATTACTTACTGGTAATTTTATTGGGATTGTATTGAATATATAGGTCAAATTGTAAAAAACTTATACCTTCACGTAGTATCTTCCTATACATTTAAATATAGCATTCTCTTCATTTATTTAAATCCTCTTCGATTTCTTCTTTAGTGTTTTGTAGTATCCTTCATATAGATCTTACCCATACTTCGTTTTGTTTTTTTTTTGAGACAGAGTCTTGTTCTGTTGCCCAAGCTGGAGTGCAGTGGCATGATCTTGGCTCACTGTAACCTCTGTCTCCTGGGTTCAAGAGATTCTTCTGTCTTAGCCTCCCAAGTTTCTGGGATTATGGTTACATACCACTATACCCAGCTAATTTTTGTAGTTTTAGTAGAGGCACAGTTTCACCTTGTTGGCCAGGCTGGTCTTGAGTTCCTGACCTCAGGGGATCTGCCTGCCTCAACCTCCCAAAGTGCTAGGATTATAGGCATGAGTTACCACACCCAACCCACTTCATTAGATTTATACCAAAATGTTTATTTGTATGATGCTAATGTAAATGGCATAGTGTTTTAAATTCTAAACTCTATTTTTTCATCGCTGACATATAGAAAAACAATTGATTTTTGTATATTAACCTCATGTTCTACCACCTTTTTATGTTTACTTGTGAGTTCCAGGAGATCTTGTTGATTCTTTAAGTTGGAATTGAGTATTTCTTTTTCCTTAGGTTAGATTCAAGTAAAACTTCAGGCATAGGCTCTAGTAAAATACCTTCTGCTGAGGGCAGGCCCTTTTAAGAAAACATGGCTACTTTGGGCTTCTCCAGCCAGAAGCATGAGGAGATTTGTCTCTGGTATTCACTGCAAAAACTTGGTAGACAGTAAAGGTACAACTTACAAAAGTGTGGAGGCCTCCCTAAGACTGGGTGTCCCTGGAGTATTCTCTTTCAGATTTGTCCACATTGAACTCCCAGCAATTCAGTAATAACAGTGTAGGTTTTCCTACTCAGCACTGGCCCCAGCTGTGGGATACTGATAATGTCTCTATCAGCCTATCTCTCCAGAATTGAGGGCAGCATTTCTCCCTGTGACATCAATTCTCTGTTGAGTCGAATTGCTAGTTTTCCATCTGATGAATTGTTTACATTATTGGAGGATGTGAGTAATGACTTTTCAGCTTATGATCCACCAGCCTGGAAACCAAGAATTTGGCAAGTGAACTTTTGGCTGCATGCTTTTCTTACTGTTTGTTCCCTGACTCCAGTGATTTGATAAGAGGAATGGACAGAGATCCAAAGAAAAGCAACAGACCTCATTTAAGGCTCACTTGAACTGTGTTCTCCAACCCAGCCTGCAGGAAAGGCCCTGCATTGGCTTAATCATCAGTGCACATCAAGCTTCTATGGAATTGCTGCATGTGTGTTTTCTTAGTCATAACCCTAAAAACTAAGGAAGGGTAGAACCATTAGATTCAGGGCTTAAAACCCACCTGGACCCTGTAAGCCCTCACCTGAGTGAATTTCTCACTATGATTCAGTTTGCTGCACATAATTAACCAGTTGTACTTTTGCTCAAGCTTTCGAGGCCGTGTAACGTTCCTCCCAGCCAATCAGCCTTCACTTAGCCAAATTCCTTTCATCCTTTAGAGTTCAAGGTAATGTCCGGATTCTCCTCTGGGTCTTCATCAACTACTGAACTCAAAACCATTTTTTTTTCTTTCTCTAAATTGATGTTGTGCAAAGTGGAGGTAAAATTCCCACCGGTCACAAAAGAAAACATTTTAGAACTCCTATTTGTTTTTTTCTTCAAAAAAAAAGAGAAATTAATGAAGATTTACTAATAGGCAATTATAAATTGATGATCATCCTCACTTAGTCTGCATGTCAGATGTGCCACCTGGTTGAAGTGTGAGCCTTCCCCAGCACCGACGAACTGCCAGCTCTTCCTACAGTCACGTGACTTGCCTCACAGTCCTCCAAGATACTGCAGGTTACGTGTTGCCCATTCAAGTGGGCTTATCTTATTGACTGGCCTTTAATTACGTTTTTATATGTTGCATTGTGGTAAAATACCCATAACAAAACTTTTACCATGTTTTCTTAAATCAACTGTCTACAACAAGCTCATACTTAAATTTTACCATTTTAATAATTTTTAAGTGCCTACTTTAGGGACATTCAGGGCATTCAGATTTTTATGCAACCTCATGGTTATCCACATCTCTCTCAAACTTATGAAAAGGGACTCTTTTAAAAAGCCCACCCTGAATCCAAACAGTTGCTTTTCATAAGTTTGGGAGGGATTTCATACCATAGAGAAGCTCAGTGGTTATCTCACAACACAGCCCTTAAAGGAGTTGGCAAACATAAAAATGAATCATCCATTTTCTTTTACATACAAACTGATATGAAATTATTTTCCAAATTTGCTGAACTTTTCTGTTAAAAAAACGTGGTTGTCAGCTGGGAACAGTGGCTCATGCTGTAATCTCAGCACTTTGGGAGGCCAAGGTGAGTGGATCACCTGAGATCAGGAGTTTGAGACCAGCCTGGCCAACATGGTGAAACCCTGTCTCTGCTAAATATACAAAAAATTAGCCAAGCGTGGTGGTGAGCACCTGTAATTGCAGCTACACGGGATGCTGAGGCAGGAGAATGGCTTGAACCTGGGAGGCGAACATTGCAGTGAACTGAGATTGTGCCATTGCACTCTAGGCTGGGCAACAAGAGTGAAACTCCATCTCAAAAAAAAAGAAAAGAAAAAGAAAGAGAAAAAAAAGAAGTTGTTGTCAAGCATTCACTAGTTCTAACTTCTAGAACCAACCACTATAGCACCTGTAAGGTTATACTCTTAATATTTTTTTAAAAACCTTAGATTATTTTTGATAAGGTGACATGGCGTCATGGACAGTTTTCAACAATTCAAAGTGTGTTTTCTTCCCTTGAAGGATCTGATGTTGAAAAGTAAAATACATGTGAGAAGCATGTCAACAGTAGCTTTGTCAAATCGAGAACAGAGGAAGCCAAAGGGCAGAGGGAGCAGTTGGTGGGGCAGATGGCTGGTGCTCACCTGGTTGCAGACGGGCTTGTACCTGAGCCCTGGCTTGTTGAGGATCATCTCCAGCTGCCTGCGGTTGAAGTTGGACACCCCGATGGACCTGGCCAATCCTGCGTCCTTACACTTCTCCATGGCCTGGAGAGGATAGTGTTGTGAGGAGTCATCTGTGTAGCCAGCTAGAGGCAAATAATACATGTCTGCACGCTAGAGGTAGGCGAAGATTGAGTATGAGACAGTGGGAGAGACACGGCCTTGCAAAGTGCAGATGTCGATCAATGAGGCACAAATGGACCGGTAAGAGAAAAATGAAAAGTAAATAAGTAAAATAAATAGGCACGAAGATGGAATGAAAACAATGCGAGTAGGTGGCCAGGACAGAGTTAAGGGAACTAGTATGGTCTTTAGTGAACACCTATAAGAGTTTGATCAAGCAACGGCAAAACCAGTACCAAGTGCCAAGAGAACAGGAAGTGCAGCAGGTGTGGGCTGAGAGGCAGGGCTTCCACCTGTGGGACCACCGGCTTCTGCTTTCTGACCTAATTCCCTGCACTGTCCACTCACTCACAATGTCTAGTCTCACATGTCCCCTTGCTGATCTTGGACACACTAGTATCTCTCCCCTCTTAAAAACATTGCTGTGGCCCAGCACGGTGGCTCCCTCCTGTAACCCTAGCACTTTGGGAGGCTGAGGCAGGCAGATCTCCTGAGGTCAGGGGTTTGAAACCAGCCTGGCCAATGTTGTGAAACCCAGTCTCTACTAAAAATACAAAAATTAGCCAGGCATGGTGGTGCATGCCTGTAACTCCAGCTACTCGGGAGGCTGAGGCAGGAGAATCACTTGAACCCAGGAGGCAAAGGTTGTAGTGAGCCAAGAACTTGCCATTGCATTCCTGCCGGGTTGCCAGAGCACAGCTCCATCTAAAAAGACAAAAACAAAAGAAAAGCACTGCCTTGTCTCTCTTTCTGCCTGCATCACTCTTTTCCCAGATATCCATGCAATTGATTCCTGCATCTGCTACAAGTCTTTGCTCTAATGTCACTCTTTCAAAGACGCCTACCCTGCCACTCTGTTTATCATTGCAGGTCTGTGCCCCAAACTGACTCCAGCACACAGCTTTCTTTTTCACCCCCACATACCACAGCACCTCCCCATGCATGGACCAACACCCTGGTTCTGTTCATTGATGCTCTCTGGTATGCAGAATAGAACTTGATACACCGTAGGCACTCAATACACACTTGCTGGATGAGTAAGTGAATGAAATGTGAAAACAGAGGCAGAGAGACATTGAGGGCTCTCCCGAGTCTGAACACTGGGGATATTAGACCAGGTCCCATTTCCTGAATTCCTTGTCTATTTTTTTCTGTCTCCCCCAAGGTACAGAGATGGGCTCACTGAGGCTGCACTCACCTCCCACATGCTGCAGAGATCTACTGTGTCAAAAATGATCTTTCCCTGTGAGTCCATTGGGATAAACTCCTCTCCAGGCTGGAACATAGGAAAGAAGGAGAGTTTGCACGAAGCTCTGCCTCATCTCAGCCAACCTTAGGGCCTATAAACCTTGAGACTGATGAAGCCCTCCAACCTTATTCTTGAATAGATTTGTAAAATTATGCCAATGGCAGAGGCAGCACATGTAGGAAATATATCCTAGAAATGCTTTTGAGCATCACAAATTTAATCAATATTGTCTGTGTCAAGGCTAAGTTGAGGTACTTAGCATCCTGTCCTGGGCAGACTCTAGGGTGGTGTGATACCCAGCAGGCCCCCTGGTCCTGGACCCTCGCAAAGAGCTCTCTCTCTCTTCCCAGTGACTTGTCAGCATTCAAAGCTGAGTCTTGCCCTCACTGAACTTTCTGTTCCGTAACTGAACTCCACTGTCGACCACGTGGGTTTGAGACTTCAGGGGATAAGAACTTGAAAATATTGGTAGTACATCCACAAGACTGAGGCAAAGCTGTTCACACTGCTGAACTCCTGTCACTCTGGGGCTAGTGTTGTGAACTGAGTTTAGAAGAATTTCAGAAAAATAATCAATAAAAAGCACGAGAGAGAATCTTAAAAGCATCATCTCATCCTCAGAAACTGTTTCCTCTCTTGCATTCAGTGACTAGTATTTATGTTGATCAGCAAGGTAAAACAACGTGTGCTAACCTGCAAAGATACCGGGTAATGAACAAGGTAAAGATTCACGTAGCTCAGCTGAAGTTTCTGCAGTGACAGTTCAAGGCCTCTTTGGACCAATTCTGGGCGGGAAAAGGTGCCCCACATCTGCAATGGTTGAAAGAGAAGTTGTGTGAGTACTTCTTCAAAAGTCTTCGAGAGAGCGTAATGAAATGGCAAATAAACATCAGCAGCCAAATCCTCTTAGAGAAGTGACAAGTTATTCCCAGTCAACACTAAGCTCTTAATCATCAGAGCAGAGTTTCATATGGAGCGAAGATGATAAACGTGGAGAAAAAAGTACCAGTTTCATCAGATTCTCAGACTTTAGAATGTAAAAGAATAATCTGATTTGCTTGCACAAACATATTCCTTGATTCTACTCCTAACATAATAAATCACAGTATCTGGAGAGGAGACTAGGAAATTGCCTGCCAGACGGGAACCCCAAGTGATGGTGGTTCCCCAGGCTCTAGTTTGACTGTATTAAATGGTTAGGTTTCCCAAAGATAGTTAGACCCATAGGCGATATCTTTTTTGGGTACTTCAGTTACCTCAATCTAAGAAGCAATCATCTAGGGGGAAAAAATCATCAAAATGACTAAAGCTAAAGAAACCAATGCTTTGTATGAAAGGAAAATTAAAAGATGAGACTGAGAAGCCTGGTGCTGTAGCTACTGCACAGCTAAAGGTAGTCAAAGGTCACATGCAGGCTGGGAGGAAGAAACGCTTTATCACAAGCTCGTATGGGAGGGCCTGTGTTCTGTCTCTGTGGACTACTTCCCCTCACGTTTAAATGTTTTGTTTGTTCTTTGTTTTTCTAGCAGTAGTCAGTTCAGTGAACACCAGGGTTAAAGTTTCTTTGGGGTTCCTTTTCCTACCTGACTTAAATACCCAAGTTCTTTTATTTGTTTCAGATATGATGTCAGTGAATATGAAGAGTATTATTAATAGAAGAAAATGGCTCAAGAGTTTAAAAAGAAATATGTAAGTACATTTATAAACATTAACTTAATCTTCAGAGAAATAAACATTTATTGACCACAAAATATGTTGAGATGCCAGGATGAAGGCTTAGAGAGGCTAAAAAACTTGTTTTTTGGTTAAGAAATTTCACGAAGTCAAATGGAATATTCAAGAACTAAAATTTGATCCTAGTACATCTGTTTCCAAAGCCTGCACTTTCTGACTAAATCACATTACCTCATACTTTAGCTAAGACAGACTAAGTCACTTTGTCAAAACTTGACTATAGTAAAGTAGGAAGAGCCAAATCATTTCTGAGTTAAAAAATTAGGATAATAATAACAGCATTTTTGAACATCTGAAATGTACCAAATACTTTTCAGCAAGCTTTACATCTATTTTTAAAAATACAACACTCATAAAAATTCTGTGAGATAAATAATATTGTCTTCATTTTACAACTTGGGAAACTGAAGGATAGTGTTTTAGTAGGTTGTTGGAGGTTGTACATATTTATTTATCTTACACTTGCTATAGACTAGGGAAGGTCACACATTTATTAAGTGTCCGAGCCTGAATTCAAATATAAAAGTCTGATTATAGAATCCACGTTCCTAACCAGACTTCTCGTGGTGCAAGTCTGAGGAGATGAAAATTAAATCAATGAAGAGCAATTTGACAAAGAGCTCTACAGCCTAGAGTGACTTCCCAGATACAGATGCATTGGTACATAGCACCTTTGTGGTATAGAATATATCTGTTCTTTTCACAGTGCCATTGGCAATCTTCTTCCTGATGGCCTGCCCAATGGCTTCTTCATTCAGATACGAATAAGCTGAGTCAATATGGCGGTAGCCTACATCTATTGCCACCTGGACGGCTTCTTCTACATTACTCATGGCAACCTGGAAGAGCATAAAGAGATAAAGACCTGTTTGGCTCAGAAACAGATGATCACTTCTCTAAAGAGATATTCAAAAGAATCTCCCCCACCCCCTCCACTAAGGGCTAAGAGCTAGAGGTGGCAAAGCTAAATGTTGAGTAACAATCAGTGGTAAATGTTTAACAACTAACTCTGAAGAAGTTCTGGTTTGTAGTATTTGCCAATTTCTATAGTGTAAATACTCTTCCACCATGGCTAAGGTCAAGCTTGCCAAAATGGGCAAAGATGCTCATAATACACTCTTTTGAGTCCTCGTGAGCTAGACTCAGCACATCACAGCCTTTACACCTCTACCTATGTATTTATAGTATATATATGATCTATAGATTTGCACAATCTAAAGATTTACATTCCTAACTTAATTTCCTCTATAAGAGATTACAAAATTGGTTTTGATCCAATAATTCAATGCTAATAATTATCAACATAAAGACATAACTTTAGACACAATAAAATATTGATTTACCTATTTTAACTTGGAAAAACAAAGAACATTTGAGGAAGAACAAAAATAGATACAGTTTTAAAAATTATTTTAAAGGAAAATAAGCTATTTAAAAATATTTTAAAATAACTTTTTTGATTTTTAAAATGAAATAATTATTTGAAAAGTAAAACTATTTTTTCACTCAAAAAATCTCATAATTATTTCTTCTTTTGGCTGCTGTGCCGGTTCTTAAGCAACACTTTCTCCTTCACATCCTTCTTATTTTTCTTAGGCATTCATTATTCTTCTGGCCCACCAGCCTGGACTCTTGAAGTCATCCATAATTTTTCTGTTTGTATTAGAACCCTTTATACCTCACTCAGTAATTAAAATGCCTCTTGGGTATATTTGTTTCATTTTTAACTACTCTTGAGTCAACTGAGTCTGTGAAGATAATTTAAGTATCCCCAGGTGAAAGAGCCAAGGAATGGCAAAAGCAGTACTTCATGACAGTCTTCTTTGCAGTCCTCAGTGGTAAGCATCATGTTTCTCTTGTGTTGGGAAACACTCCTACAACTTTTCTTAAATAATTATAATGTTCTTCACCAACAACCACTGAGATGTGCCCTTGTAAGTTTGCAGTGCTTGATCCACAAACATGCACGAAGCCAAGGAGAAGGGAATTTTTCAAGTACCATGTGAGTCTTTCATGGCACCGTCTTACCAACCTGGCCTCTCACAGACCGTGGCCACCTAGACCACACAGCTCCCTCCAAGCCTGTCTCTCTTTTCCCAAGTTCCTATGCCCCAGAACTTTCTGTTGATATTCTTATTAGTGGTGAACAGGGAGGACTTGGGTATTAAAAATTACAACACAACTTTCTCACAAGTTTGCTGTGAAGTTTCTGGCACATGGTAATCATGTCAATAGGATTTCGTTTCTTCTACTACGAAATGGCTACAACTGGACAGAAGCCAGAGTAACAGCAACAGACTTACTCACCCCTGCATTCTGAACAATTGCATGCATACTTTCATCTCTCTTGATGGAGGGCCACTCCAAGCATGGTTTTGGACAAGCAGCATCTGAATCAGTTGGAAGCTTATTATAAACGTAAATTCTAGAGCCTCATTCAAGATCTACTCAATCAGAACCTTCAGGGATAAGGCTTCCTAATCTACATTTTTAACAAGATCCTCAAGTGTTTATATATCTACTAAAACATGGAAAGCCCTGACTTAATGTACAAAGTAACCTAACTTGGTGATAAGTGTGTTACAAATGAGAAAAGTGAGGCCCACCTGAATTTCCCAAACTCACATAGTGAGTGATTCAGGTCAGGAACCACCTGCTACTCCTCCACCCCCAATACCATTATGGTTACCTTCCTAGGGGCAGAAGTACCAAACCCCAGCATAGGCATGAAGTGTCCATCATTCAGGATTACAGAAAGCAGTCTGGTAGAACTCATCTTCTTTTACTTTCCTGTGAAGCAGGGGTTTTTCTTCTCTTTATTAAGGGAAATCTGTAGAGAAGAGAAAATACAATGACTATTTTTATAACAACTTTAATGAGATATAATTTACATACCATAAAACCACCTCTTTAAAGTATACAAGTTAGTAACTTTTTAAGTATAGTCATAGAGTTGTGACCACTCCACAATTTTAAAACATTTTCATTATCTTCAAAGGAATCCCATACTCATGAGAACTAATTCCCCATTTCTTCATTCCTCCACCTTCTGCCAACTACTCACCCACTTTCTGTCTCTATGGATTTGCCTATTCTGGACATTTGACATTAATGAATTTATACAATATGTGGCCTTTTGTGACTGCCTTTTTTACTAAGCATAATGTTTTCATGGTTCCATTATGTTGTAGCATGTATCAGTACTTCATTACTCTTTATGGCTAAGTAATGTTCCATTGTATGAATATACCACGTTATTTATCCAGTTGATTAACATTTGTGTTTTCTACTCTTTTTATTATTAGGCATAATGCTGCTATAAACATTCATGTACGTGCTACTGTGTGGACATATATTTTATTCCCCTTGTGTATATATCTAGGAGTGAAATTGCTAAGTCATATGACAAACCAATATTTAACCTTTTGAGGAATTGCCAAATGGTTTTTTTCAAAATGGGGGCATTATTTACACTACTAACAACATTTTATAAGAGTTACCATTTCTCCATATCTTCTGTGATTTATTTTCTCTCTTTAATTATAGCCATCTTTGAGAGTGTATCTCATAGTTTTGATTTATATTTCCCTGAGTGATTATATAGAGCATCTTCTCAGATACTTATTGCCATTTGTATATCTTTTTAGGATAAAATGTCTGTTTATATCCTTTTCTGATATTTTCATTGGGGTATTTATCTTTTTATTAACAAGTTATATTTGTTTTGTATATACTGTGGGTACAAGTCTTTTAATATGCGTATAAGATATGGAAATATTTTCTCTCATTATATGAATGGTCATTTCACATTTTTTGGGTGTCTTTAGAAGCACAAAGATTTACAATTTTGATAAAATCCAGTTTATCTTTTTTGCCACTTTTGTTTCTGGTGGCATAACTAAAATTGCTGAATCCTAGATCATCAAGATTTATGTCTATGTTTTCTTCTAAGAATTTTATAGCTCTAGATTTTATATTTAAGTCTATAATCTTTTTGAGTTAATTTTTTACATGTAGTGTGAGGTAGGGATCCAACTTCCTTTTTTTTGCCTGTGGTGATCTGGTTGTCCCAGAATCATTTGCTGAAAAGACTGTTTTTCCCCATTGAATGGTCTTGGCACCCTTGTCAAAATCAATTGATCATAGATACATTGATTTATTTCTGAACTACCAATTAATCTATAAAATTGATCTATGAATTTTTAAAATACATATTAGTATTTAAATCACTTTACTTGTTAAAAGACAATTCAGATTATCTATTTTTCTAGTTTTAGTATTTTATATTTTTCTAGGAATTTGTCATTTCATCTGAGTTATGTTTAAAAGGAATTGCAATGTCTCCTCTTTCATTTTTGATTTAAAAAATTTGTATCTTCTCTATGTTTTGCTTGATCAGTCTAACTAAAGGCTTATTGTATCAGACAAATCCCTAAGTAACCTTGATTTGGCAGTAATACAAATAGCAAGTTTTATCTCAACACCAGTAGCTTAATAACAGCAGATACAAAACAGGCAGGAAAGGAAATAAGAGAGAAATATTTGTAGAAGACTCTCATTAACTCTATAGTTGCAGGTTAACAATTTAAGCCCTAAAGTTTTCTTTTCAATTTGCCCATCAGTTTTAAAATGCGCACAGGAATAAGCCAAAATACATAAGAAGCTGGATTTCTAGCAGAGCTGCAGGAATTTGAACTTCTGCAGGAATTCTTACGCTTTTTCCCTTTCCTGATCTAACGAGTCCTCAGTAGCCAGCCTTTTTGCAGAAACAGCACGTGTGGTCTCCTTATCGTACTTTGAATATTTTAGCTACTTGCAATATGTGCTCAGGCTTTGCCTGTTTTCTGAGCATCCTGGTACTCATGTGATGGCTCACAAAGCTCAAGCAGTAGGGCAGCTCCACCCCACACACGTTTCCGGTTATCCCAGTATTCCCCTGCAGACACCCCTCCCTCGCGCATCATTTGGTACCTAGGATCCTGTTCACGACTCCACTTGTGATGAGGAAAACTTGAAATTGTGTAGAAAAGCCTTCTCCCAAACTGGGAGGGAGCTGAGAGGCCAAAGAATGACTGCAACAAGTCCGGCCTGGTGAGTAGATGAGTTTAGTAGGACTTTACATGGGGCACTCCTGGACAGCGGCAGAACAGCTCCAGAGATCGGTGCCTCCTTCTGTCTCTAAGCTGCTTTTAAGCAAATTTTCTGGCTCTTTGCCTGCTGTGTGCCTGTGATGGGGCTGTTTCTCTTGGTAGGTTCTCTGATCCTTTTGGGGATGTTTGGGTTCTCAGGGACACCTGCTCCTCAGGTGGGCACCTTGGCCTTGGCTTACCACCTGGTTTTCAAGGTTTAAGCAGCAGACATTCACCCTTAAGTAACCTGGTGGAAGACCCATCACTCTACACCCAGGTGATTTCAGTGTGTGGCTAAGACAGCTGCAGTCTGAAGTCCCTTTTATTCTCCAATAATTCTCTGTTTAAAACACATGTACACACACGCACAAACACACACACACATTTGGTTTGCTGGAAGAACTGGGCCAACTGTGTTGGCTGTCTGGAGAGAATATTCTATTATTGTACATTCTGGATTTTCTGATCGGTTCTTTTGGGGTGGTAGCTGGTTTCTCTATCACTTTCTGTAAACAAATATTGGATTTAAAGACTTGATTTGATTACACTTTTTATAATTTTGTGGTTACATAGTAGGTATATATATTTATGGCATACACGAGATGCTTTGATAAAGGCATGCAATGTGTAATAATCACATCACAGAGAATGGGGTATCCATTTCCTCAAGCATTTATTTTTTGCGTTACAAACAATCCAATTATATTCTTCTCATTTTTTAAAACTGTAAAATTATTATTGACTATAGTCACCTTGCTGTGCTATCAAATATTTAGTTCTTATTTATTCTATCGTTTTGTACTCATTAACCAACTCCACTTTCCTCCCCCACCTCCCCAACTACACTTCACATCCTCTGGTAACCATCCTTCCATTCTCTATGTCCATGAGTTCAACTGTTTAGAATTTTTGATTCCAAAAATAAGTGAGAATATGTGATGTCTGTCTTTATGTCCTTGGTTTACTTCACTTAACATAATGATCTCTGGTTCCAACTATGAATGGATCCCACTCTTTTTTATGGTTGAATAATACTCCACTGTGTATATGTACCATAGTTTCTTTATCAATTCATGTGTTGATAGACACTTAGGTTGCTTCCAAATCTTAGCTACTGTGAACGTTACTGCAACAACATGGAGTGCAGATATTTCTTCTGTATACAGATTTCCTTTCTTTGGGGCATATACCCAGCATTGGGATTGATGAATCTTAGGATAACTCTATTTTTAGTTTTTTGATGTGCCTCCAAACTGTTCTCCATAATGGTTATACTAATTTACATTTTCACCAACGGTGTATGAGCCTTACTGTTTTCTCCTCTGCAGATTTTTTCTGTTTCTTGTCTTTTGATATAAGCCATTTTAATTAGGGAGAGATAATAATCTCACTGTAGTTTTTGTTTGCATTTGATTTGCATTTCTCTGATGATCAGTATGTTGAGCACCATTTCATATATCTGTTTGGCATTGGTATGTCTTGTTTTAAGAAATATCTATTCAAATCTTTTGCCCATTTTTAAAAAATTGGATCTTTTTTCCTATAGAGGTGTTTGTACTCCTGATATATTCTGGTTATTAATACCCTGTCAGATGGATAGTCTGCAAATATTGTCTCCCATCCTGTGGGGATTATCTCTTCACAGTGGCAGTTAATGATTTCCTTTGCTGTGCAGAGCATTTTAACTTATGATTGCATTTGTCCATTTTTGCTTTGGTTGCCTGTGCTTATAGGGTATTAGTCAAGAAATTTTTGCCCAGACGAATGTCCTGAAGATTTACCCAATGTTTACTTATAGTAGTTTCATCGTTTGAGATCTTAGCTTCAAGGCTTTAACCCATTATGATTTGATTTTTGCATATGTCAAGAGAGAGGGGTATTGTTTCATTCTTCTGCATATATTCAGCTTTCCCAGCACCATTTAGAGAAGAGATTGTCTTTTCCCCGGTGTATGTTCTTATCGCCTTTGTTGAAAACGAGTGCACTGTAGGTGTGTGGATTTGTTTCTGGGTTTTCTGTTCTGTTCCACTGATCTATGTGTCTGTTTAATGGCAATACCATGCTGTTTTCGTTACTAAGCTCTGTAGTGAAACTTGAGATCAGGTAATGTGATTCCCCCAGCTTTGTATTTTTTGCTTACGATAGATTGGGCTATTCTGATTATTTTAGGCTGATGACAACTCAACTGTGTTTGTATATAAACAAAAAAATTGGCAAAAGAAAACTAATAAAAACTTTATGCTTTATGTCTGGACCCGTTTTAAAATTTTTTGTTTCTGTTTATATCATATTGTACTGTGTATGTCTCGAAAAGTTGTTATTCTTTGAATTTGTTCATCAATTAATTTATCTACTTAGGATTAGTTTACACATCACAGTTACAGTATTATAATATTTGTGTTTTCCTGTGTACTTATGGTTACCAGTGAGTTCTGCACTTTCAGATGATTTCTTATTTCTCATTAATGTCCTTTTCTTTCTGACTGAAGTGCTCTCTTTAGCATTTCTTGTAGGACAGGCCTGACATTGATAAAGTCCCTTAGCTTCTGCTTATCTGGGAAAGTCTTTACTTCTCCTTCAGGTTTGAAGAATATTTTCACTAGATATACTATTCCAGGGTAAAAGCTTTTTTCTTCAGCACTTTAAGTATGTCATGCTGCTCTTGCCCAGCCTGTAAGGTTTCTATTAAAAAGTCTGTTGCCAGATGTATCAGAGCTCTATTGTATGTTTCCTTTTTTAAAATCTCTCTCTTGCTGCTTTTAGGAGCCTTTCTGTGTCTTTGATCTTTGAAAGTCTGATTATTAAATGCCTTGAGATAGTCTTATTTGGATTAAATCTGCTTAATGTTCTACAGCCTTCTTGTATTTAAGTACTGATATCTTTCTCTGGGTTTGGAAAGTTCTCTGCCATCCCTTTGAATAAACTTTCTACCTCTATTTCTTTCTCTACCTCATCCTTAAGCCCAGTAACTCAGATTTGCCTTTTTTGAGGCTCTTCTAGATCCTGTAGGCATGCTCTATTGTTTTCTTTTTTTCCTCTGTTTATTTTAAAACCGCTTGTCTTCAAGCTCATTAATTCTGCTTAATTCTACTATTAAAAACTATGATGCATTCTTCTTTTTTTTGAGAGAAAAAAGAAAAGAAAGAGAAAAAAGAATGAAAGAGAGAAAGAAAGAAAAAAAGAATAAAAAAAAGAATGGAAGAGAGAAAGAAAGAGGGAAAGAGGAAGAGAGAACGGGAGTGTTGCTTTATTGCCCAGGCTAGAATGCAGTCTAAAAATGGGTATTGAAAACCTCTTTTATGCCAATAATTATGCTTAACAATGGAAACAGGAAGAAGTAAGGGAGAAAAACAACAAACAAGCAGCCAACCAATATTTCATTTAAACCTGTGAAATGCTATGCAATTACTGAGGAGTGATTTACTTCTAATTATGTAGTCACTTTTAGAGTAGGTGTGATGTGGTACTGCTAAGAATGTATGTTTTGTGTATTGGGGGTGGAGAGTTCTATAAATGTTTAAGTTTACTTGTTCTGGGTCTGAGTCCAAGTCCTGGATATCCTTGTTAATTTTCTGTGTTGTTAATCTGTCTAATATTGACAATGTGATGTTAAAGTCTCCCACTATTACTGTGTGGGAGTCTAAGTCTCTTTATATGTCATTAATAACTTGTCTTATGTATCTGGGTGCTCCCGTATTGGGTGCGTATATATTTAGGATCGTTAGCTCTTCTTGTTGCATTGATCCTTTTACTATTATGTAATGTCCTTCTTTGCCTCTTTTGATCTTTGTTGCTTTAAAGTCTATTTTATCAGAGGCGAGAATTACAACTCCTGCTATTTATTTATTTATTTATTTATTTTTGCTCTCCATTTGATTGGCAAATCTTCCTCCATCCCTTTGTTTTGAGTCTTTGTGTATCCTTGCATGTGAGATGGGTCTGGATGCAGCATACCGATGGGTTTTGACTTTCCAGCCAATCTGCCTGTCTGTGTCTTTTATTGGGGGATTAGTCAATTTAAATTTAGGATTAATAATAATATATGTGAGTTTAATACTGCCATTTGATGCTAGCTGGCTGTTTTGCCCATTAGTTGATGTAAATTCTTCATTATGTTGATCTGCCTGTCTCGGCCTTCCAAAGTGCTGGGATTACAGGCATAAGTCTGTAGAATTGGCCAACTATAGTAAAATTGTCTTGAATGTTGCAAATACAATGTCAAAAGACAATGACTGGTGAAAAGTTGGATATTATTATACACCTAGAAAATTGAAGAGATCCTAGTAAAAAAACACTCAATAGAATAAACTAGAAACTTCTGTATTGACTGTATACAAAACAAGTACATAAAACTTGATCCAAAGCATCTGGAAGTGGAATGAAAAAAATGCTGCATTCACTCAGATAACAACTTCAAAATACTTAGGAATAAAGTTGGCAATAATAATAGAGTTTTCACAGAATAAAACTATGCAATATCATTGAAGGCATATAATAAGGTCTGAACAAATAAAATGTAAAATTTTGGATCAGAGGACAATCTATTAAAATGTAAATCTCATAAAACAATATATATGCCTTCAAGATATTCTATCTCAAATTCCAACTGACTTGCTTTTAATTAGATACAATATTCTTTAAGTGTGCATAAAAATTAATGCAAGACAGAAAATGTATGAAAAGGTAGAACAGTGAGGGAAACTTATGTTAATGAATCTCATATCATATTACAAAGCCAATATATTCTAAACAATAACAATCACATTGGTGTAAGGTTACACAAAAATATCAGTTAAATACAATAGGAAATTCAGAATTAATTATTATTTATATAAGAATTAAAGAAATGATTCAAAAGATGGTGCATATGTCATTATATAATAAGTTATTTAATAAATAAGGCTTGAAAATACATTATTGACCTTAAAAATAGAATTGGATACCTTGTGACATCATATATATCCAAAAATTTCCAGATATATAAATGATACAAAGCATAAAAAGGAGAAATAACTTACATGCAATGTCTGAGGTGCACTCTTGAGTGAAAGGAGGCCTCGTTTAATGAACAAAAAAAAAAAAAAAAGAACTTTGCAAGAGGGAGATATCTGGATATGTAAAAAATTAATCTTTTACATGGAAAATGTCCTCAACACAGTTAACAAGTAAACAGTAGATTTGGAAAACGTTTATAAACCAGGTGAACAGAGTTTGATATTAATAACCCGAGAGAGCTATTAAAAATTGTCAAGAAGAAGACACATAATATATAAAAATTAGCTGAGCTATGTGAGAGCTGCCCAGGGGGGCAAACCAAGACAGGGCAGGGTATGTCCCCGCCTGGAATGTGCAGCCAGCTGGGAAGGTCAGGGGACTTCACCCTCTTGGTGCTCTGATTTGAATCCTGTGCTTACCTCGTCCCTCCTGTAACCGACAGTCCACGAGAGCCCTGCCAGACCGAGGGTTGTCATGCAAATCTAAGCTGTGGCTCTCCCCGGCACGGCAAGTTGTTGCACTGACCTGGGCTGAAGTTTGGACTAACACAAGCGGGACGGACGGTCCCACAGAAAGAGGCAGAGCTGAAAGAAGGGAAACAGGCCATGAGGCTGGCAGACCCCCAGAACTCAAATTCGCTAGAGAGCTTGGTAGCAAATACACCAGTTTGACCCCAACCTGGCAGATCAAGCTCTGGGAAGGAGAGATACTAGTGGAGAGGCGGGGTCAATCTCACCTGCAAACAAACTCCAGGAAAGGACCACCCACCCGGCAACCTGACTGAATTTGTGAGAGCCCAGCATCGCTATCTACAGGCCAAAAAAGATATAGCTCCAATAGAGACTCCCAAAATCACCAGCTTCAAAGATCAAAGGGAGATAAATCCACGAAGATGGGAAAAAAACAGCGCAAAAAGGATGAAACCATCAAAGACCAGAACACCTTTTCCCCTCCCAGGGATCACAACCCCTCACCATAAAGGGAACAAAAAAAGACAGAGAATGAATTTTATGAATTGACAGAAGCAGGCTTCAGAAGGTGGATAATAACAAACTTCTCTGAGTTAAAAGACTCAGATTTTAACCCAATGCAAAGAAACGAAGAACCTCGAAAAAAGGTTAGATGAAATGATAACTAGAATAACCAGGTTAGAGAGGATCATAAATGACTTGATGTAGCTGAAAAACACAGCTGGAGAACTTTGTGAGGCATACACAAATTTCAACAGCTGAATTGATCAGGCAGAAGAAAGGATATCAGAGATAGAAGATCAAATCAATGAAATAAAATGAGACGGCAAGATTAAAGAAAACAGAGTGAAAAAAATGAACAAAGCTTCCAAGAACTATGGGATTATGTGAAAAGACCACTGTTACACTCCCACTAGCATCAGGACTTGTACTTGCCAGCAAGTTAGATAACCTAGATAAAATGGACAAATATATAGAAACACATAACT